AAAAAAAAATATAATAAAAAAAAAGTTTACAAAAAAATTATTATGAAACCAGGGATTTAAAATACAAAGCACAATCCACTTTCAAGATTAACTCATTTTTTAGAATGTGCCTATGGATAAGTGGAAAGGAGCACTAATTAGGTTGAATTTAAAGAGTTGAAGCTTATAAGCACAACCGGTATTTTTTCTATTCTGTTGCCCTATAACGGCGTTAACACTAATTAGCATAACATACAGAACACCAACAATATCAAAGTAAAAAGAACATATATCTCCTACGGGCATATTAAAGTATATTGCAATAAATTCACAACATTACACACACATTAATTGCGAAATTCTTTTTTCACGTGGGATTAACGCCTTTTTGTGTTAATGTATTGTCTTCGTAAGTTTCCAAAACATCAGCCAAATGTTCATTATCTCTTGGTTTCTTAAATTGCCGTTTCTTGCTTGCAGTCTTCTTACGTTTTGGTACCGGTTTCTTGGGGCCATGATCTTGCATTGAACGTATACCTGTGCGAAAAAATAACACATACATATTAATAATGTTTATATAGCGCCCCTTTTAAGTAAAGTCACCTTGTTTTTCCAGATACTCATCAATTTTTGCGTCATCCATGGCATCTACGGTCGCTGAACGCCACAGTTTTTGGAATTCTTCATCCACCTGCGACAATTGAAGCACAGCATATTATTTACAACAAAAGCATATTAATTTTTTTGACACCTACCATAAAATTAGCTGTGCGATCATTGTAGAATAATATTTTCTTTTTATCAATTGGTCGTACTATAAATATTATTTCCGAAGCGCGATTTTTTAGTACTTTTTCACAGTGCGGTAACGACTCCTGCACATCGTCTAACAGTATGCCGCCCAAGCCTTTCAAGTCATGTTGTTTAAGTAGCCTTAACAGACTTTTGCCATCTTTAATTTTGTATACTGGTTTGAAGCTGAAACGTTGACCATCAGGTGTAGCTTCAATTTTGGGGTTATTTATGAGTGCCTCCGAGGCTAACCACTAAAATCAAATTAATAATAAGTAATATTATTAACAACCGCTGGTTTTTCTAGGCAAGTGCATACATTTTTAACGGACTGCCCAATATCTAATTGATTTGTTTCATCCAATATTTCATCTATGTTCAAAGGATGGTCATCGCCATCCTGATGTCGAGTGCGCATATGTTTGACAATCTTTGCTAACACACCAAAGCGATATTGTGAACTTCCAGACATTGTTTTGTATCTGAAAATATTTCCATATTTATATGAAAATGTATAAATGTATTTATTGAGCAACTTACGTGTTTGAATCCAGTTTAGGCGCACTGGGTGGACGCATCTTTTTCTTGGCATCATCTTTGGGCTGGCTGGGTGGTGGCGCCTCGGCTTTTGGCTTCTTCTCCACACTATTTGCGAAAATATAGTTTAGAAATATTGAATATGTTGATTGTGCGATTAACTTACGTGGGAGTGGCCATGGCCCTTTTTTTAAACGCCTCGCGTTCTCTCAATAAAGCTGGATCCATAATTGTATTTTATTTGATTTTTCTTTTGCAATATATTAATAAATATTTTTTCAAGAGCAAAAAACGCTTTATATTTACACTGATAAAATATATAGCTAACAGCTGTTTGCTTCTTCTATTTTTATTTGTTTTGATTCACAAAAAAGTTTTTTGACACTTCTCCTTTTTTGAAGTTACCATTCACAATATAATTCGAAGAGCACGTTCAAAAATTTGGTCGTCAAATTATTATTCACATGAAAATATTAGAAGTCATAAACTGTTACGAATTGAATATATAATAAAACGTTTTCACGATTTTAATTTTGAAACAATATATTTTTTATGGTATTTATTTTGGGTAAAATTTAGAATAGCATCCCCGGATGTCGAGGATAAAATAGGTGTCATTGGAAAGATGACGTTCTCCAGATCACGAAAATATATATATATAGTTGCCGCTGACTTATAGTTTTAAAGACATTTGCGTTTAAAGTTAAAAAATTTTAAATTGATAATTTGCTTATTGTGAATAACTTTTTCACTTATATTATGCACTTTTCACTTACTAACACTTCACTATAACGTTTTTGTATAGGTTTTTTTTAATATTTATTGCAAATAAATCTTTATTTCAATTATTTTGTTTTAGTTAAATTCACTGCATTTGGACAACAAGAATAGGGTTGCATACTAGCAAATAAATGGTATTGCCATATCTGCCTAGTTGTCAACAAAAGAAAATAAGCAAAAGCATTATACCCATTGTAAATTTTTTAACTTTAAACGCAAATATCTTTAGAACTATAAGTCAGCGGCAACTATATATACATATATATATTTTCGTGATCTGGAGAACGTCACCTTTCCAGTGATACCCATTATCCTCGAAATCCGGGGATCCTATTCTAAATCCCAGCCTTTATTTTATATATGTAATTTTATTTTTTAGGATTTAGTTGTAGACAGTAAAATTTCGCCATATGAGATCTGAACACGGTGGATAATGGCCTTGGCAGACGACAGCCCTGCTTGCCATAAGCGGGCTTAATTTGCATTACTTGCGTATTTGATTCATGTTAATGCAAATTAATAAAAATTTTGTGCATTTGGTTGAATTTACCAAATTTGAGTAGGCAACACTGCCCAAAAATTGCCGATTTTTGCTATTGTGAATGGTGATTGATAGAAAGAAGAAGAAACGTAAACATTAAATATTTTTGAATAGCGTTAGAGGTAAGCAGTTTTATATTGTTAATTAAATTATCTGCAAGTATATTTCCAAAAACAAATTTTAATATATTTAGATGGCTGAAAATAAAAAACGCACAGTTTGGACGAGCGCCGACGAAAGTGAGCTAATTGATTTGTGGCGTGAACGAGCCGAAGATTTGCGACATGCTAAGCGCAATTTGCATATTTATACAGATATATCTGTGCAAATGACACATAAATTTACACCGAAGGAAGTGCATGTCAAAATACGAAACTTAACACAAAAATATAGGTATATTATGCATCCCCATAACCTTTTTAAAATTATTAACTTTTTTGAAATTACAGAGAGGAAAAGAAAAAAGTTGGACCCTCGGGTTCGTCGGAGTGGAAACTTTTTGATACAGTTCATCAAATAATGGGACTGACGGCAGCCAATAATGCAGAAACAAAAGAATTGTTTGATTTCGTGGTAAGCATACATTTTGCGAGTTTATTTCTTTATCTTATTTATATGAAAATTATTACCTCTTTAGGACATATCGTCATCAACATTTCTGCCGTTTCAGTCAACTACACCCACAGCATCACCAGTAACAATGCCATGCGCAGTATCGGTATCTGAACCGCTGTGTTCGCAAGCAATGCCTTCTTCCAGCTCGCACTCATTATCGTCACTGGATAGTTCCTCAACATCAGCAACCAGAAAGCGGAATTATAAAGGTGAAATACTAAAAATGGCAAACGAGCAAAATGAATTGCTGAAGACAGTGGTAGAGGTTGGAAAAGAATTAACAGAAAGACTTGTTAATGCTATTGAACGGCAAAATAACACTACGCAAGAGTTCTTAGTTATTATGAAAAGTATTTTAGAAAAAATGTAAATAGTAGATTTTAAGTAAATATGAGCTAAATAAATGTATGTATAAGTTATCGTTGGAGTTATTTATTACAAATTAATTTAAAAGAATGTTCTTTCGAATGATAATAAAAATTCCCACATATTTTTGAAGTTTTTTTGTTTTTTCTTTGAAAAAGTAGGGGGAACCTCGAAATGGATCAACCTTTATATCCAAACAAGAAATCCACAATATAAGCTGCTTTTTCATTAATAAAATCCTTATACCTTACAACCTTGTAAGGGGTTATGATATTTGTGCTTATGCCGAACGCTTAATAATAACCTCAATTTGAGATCGCAAATTGATATTGAAATTTTAATTACTATACCTCTATATACAATTAATTAAAAGGCAATTCTGTCCACTCAACAGCACTTTACGATATAAATTTTAAACGAGAAATTAATTGAGTCGTCAAAAAATGCACACATTTCAACTTTTGAGGCTAAAAATAGCCCTAAACTGCACACCTGAGTTCACACTACGTGTCTACTAGCCGGCATAGTATGCCTAATTTCTACATTAGGTGCTAAGTTGCTTGGCGCCGCGTGAGCAAATTGATGCTTTTAACACAATTTAATTGGAAATGTGTCTGGTAAACTGGAATAATTGATAAGGTAATAGTAAGCTATTACACAATGTGTTATTATTCAGAATATTATATAAGTGACATTTACTCATCCCAACGGAATTCTACTTTTTAAAGAAAAATGAAAATTCACTTCAAAAAGAGAGGTTAAAAATGCCTTTTGAAGTCGAAAATTTATATTTTTTTTTCATAAATTCTCAGACGTTGTGTGTGTATTTCGCATTTCAAACTTTTTTTTGTCCGACGAAACGAGAAAACAAGTGAGGTTTTGTACTGCGACCTATGGTCTATTGTCCTCGCTCCTATATCTCATATGGTCACAAAGGTCCAGCACTCTGAATTATTCCAGGAGCTTGCTGGATAATAGAACCTAGAGGAAGCTTCTACAAAATGCTGCGAAATCTAGAATCTGGTGTTTTTGGAGTTTTCTGCTCCTTGGTACAAAACCGACAGTTTGCGCAATAAACTATGCCCATGCTAGATAAGTAAGATATCTCTAAACCTTGCTATGTTGTAACTTCGCAGTAGTACTTGACAAGGTGCATTCCTGTTGCCCGCTGGTAGTGCTATTCACTCAACACTCTCTCCTCCGCGCTGAGCAACTTCTCTATGGTGTGGTACTCAACCGCAATGCATGGTTCTGGCTCCATAATTCTGGAAGACACCACAGAACGGGCTAGTTTGTCGGCCAGCTCATTGCCGGCTACTCCTTTATGATATTCGGTTCAGTCTTCGTATAGTACACTACCTCACTAATAGCAATTTAGCAACTAACAATTCTTTCGTTGAAATCGCATTTAGTGCTTGGCTATCCCTGAGTCTAGCGATAAGCTAGTTGCGATAGTTATGTTGGATATTGATTTTTGCACAAGACTTTTGTTTGAAAGTTACACGGAAAACAACCGATCATTATGGATAGTTTGGTATGCGGTTCCGCAATGCATGCTCCGGTGTTTTCGAGCCATCAGTGTACCACTGGATAGTGCTGTCCATCAGTAGTACGTCGAGCGTGGAGTCACTACACTCCGCTTTACAGCCGAGAGTAACTTTAAATTTTTTTGTTAAGTTTACCTTCTCCGTAACGCTGTCTCTTGGAAGAAAGGCCAGTGGTGAGTCTTCGCCTGAAACCTTAAGTTGTTGCGACAACATTATCTTCCCTTTGCCGAAACCCTCTGCTGCCATTAGAAGCATGGTTGGCTTCGCTGCCTGTTTGATCACTAGATGCAGAGGTGTGTACTCCAGCTCACCTTCAATTGTTGCAGTTGGACAAGTGTGCATTGTGCCCGATGCGCAGACGTAATTCTTCGCGGCTTCAATAATCAAAGGCCTACCGAAGACTGCGTTGCCTTTGATGCACAAGCAACAGCTCTATAAGTGACAATATTCCTTACAATTATGATATATAGCCACCTGATGATACCTGGCTTGCAGCCTCAGGATCTATCGGCTTCAAAACCTCTACGCCTCTGTAGATATTTGTTTGGCGAACAGGGACTGACAGTTGTACATAAATATCCTTAAAATATGCTATTTTTACTTGTAAAATCAAAGTTCAGAAACTTTTTAAGTCACTTCTCAATGTCGGATGGATTTTAAAAGAAGCGTTCGTATCGTAATGCAGTTGGAAAATAATCGCCTTGCCGATGACAACCTTGCACAACAATATCGATCAAACTCATGCTAAGGTTCTCTACATATTTGATCAAAGTTTTAAAACTATTTATTAAATGATAATAACCTGACGGACTCCATGCTTCAGTTGTGTGTACCCTTAGATAGAAATCGTAACGTTTGAACCTTGAATATGAAGCAGTGGATCACAGCAGATTTTGTTTTTTTCGAAAAGATTTCGGAAGACTTAAAGACAGAATTTGGCACGAGAGCTTTGAAAATAAATTTCTCTAATTTTCGAAATACTTCTGGTTTTCTATATACGGTATATCGTCCGGTCCGAAGGTAATTCAATAAATTCTAAAAATATTGATTAACATTTAATAAGGCTAAGGCTATTGCGAAAAGCTGAGTTATGTTAATTTTTCAAAAGGGTATTACATATTTTCGGTAATATGTAATCACATAGGCATAATAGTTATCTAAATAAATAATGTGTTACAAAATACACTATAATCCTGACACTATATAAATTTGTGCAAGCATTCAGTCTCGAAACACTTTTGCAAACCTGCTAAAAAAATTGTGAGCGCCTAGTAATGGATAAGCTGGAAGAATTATCCTCGCGTATATTTCCATCCGATGCCTACAAAGGCAAAATCGGTTCAATACAGTACAATGTGTGGTTGGCACAGTTGTTTGGGGTGCCTGTGGTGGGTTTAAAGGCAGAGTCACCGCGCTTGAAGATTGCGCTCGGCATATATGGAGTGCTCATGACGCTGGTGGTGACATTCTTTTACACGGGTTTCGAAATTTACGATATGATTTTGTGTTGGCCCAATTTGGACAGTTTGACGCAGAATATTTGCCTGTCCCTGACACATATCGCTGGAGTATTCAAAGTAAGATTTGAAGAAATTTTATCATTTATATGCTGATTTCAAGTTTTAATTTTTAGGTTATTAATATTATTTATCGGCTGGACGAAGTAGGCTTTGTGATAAGAAGAATTGAGTACTCAGCGAAAACTTATGTGATTTCAAAAAGTCAGGTTAATGGAATGCTTTAAGTGATCTTTCCAAAGCTGATTTTACTTAATAAAATTACTTTGCAGTTAGTCGCTTTTTATCGTGGTGAATTTGAGAATAAAATACCGTTAACCATTTATGCCTCACTGGTGGGTTTCACAGGCGTACTTGGCCTCATTTATCTGTTCTACAGTAAGTGCTGGTCCCAAAAATAACAATTCCATGAAATTTTAATTCATTTTTGAATTAAATAAAAATAATATTACAAATAGATCCCATCGGCGTTGCGGGTCAAATATTCCCCTACCGCGTGAAGTTGCCGGAATGGATGCCTTTCGGCACACAACTAGCCTACATGGGCATGAGTGTTTTGGTGTTCGCCTTACAGATCGTCGCCATCGACTATCTCAATGTGACCATGATCAATCAGATACGTTTTCAATTGAAAATACTCAATTTGGCTTTTGAGGAGCTCAAGATGGATTGTGTTAATGCGAGGGAACAAGAAGAGGCCAACAAGCGCTTACAAACCATAGTTGAACACCATTGCCTGCTCCGTGAGTAAGCCACTGCATTTTATATTTATTTTTAGTTTATAATTTAAAATACATATTTTATTGGATTTCTAATCTCAAAGTCTGCGCAATAATGTGGAGGATATTTTTCGCCTGCCTGTGCTCTTACAGTTTTTCACCTCACTCATTATATTCGCCATGACGGGCTTTCAGGCGATTGTCAAAGTGGAGAACTCAGATGGCGCTGCACTCATTTACTGTTATTGTGGCTGCATTTTTTGTGAGTTATTTGTGTATTGTTGGTTCGGCAATGAGGTATCGGAGCAGGTACGCGTGCACTAATTTTGTTAATATTTTTTTTTTGGAAAATCATTTTAATTTTTGTGAATTTTTTTGCAGAGCAAAACTTTGGCCGCCAGCGGTTACGGCTCGCATTGGTATGCGTTTGATCAGCGGTTCAAGAAATCACTCTTAATATTTATGTGCAATTCCCATATACCGTTTGTTTTTACGGCTGGCGGTTTCATGTCTCTGTCGTTGCCCAGTTTCACTGGTATTTTGAGTAAATCTTATACAGTTATAGCGCTCTTGCGGCAAGTATATTCACGCTGAAATTCATAGCTTTCATGGAAAGCTCTCACAAAGAACTGTCGCAAACAGCTTTCAAAAAAAAACTTTATCAAAAAGCTTTCATAAAAAATATGTTATCAAAATGTCTTAAGCAGTCCACATTCGTAATGACTTACGGATCTTGCTGTGTGATTACGATGTATAACTATTGTTTTATTATACCTATTTACTTGATGTTTCCCTATGTGTTTTTCTATAATACTTGAATTTAAAGAAATAAAGTACTTCAACTCAATGAAATAGAAAAAGATGGTAAAAATTTGAAAAATGAGGAAAAATTTAGATTTAAACCGTTTTCGGAAAAGTGGGAACGACCGTGATAATTATCACATGAACCACTTTAGCCACAATAGTTCAATTTAGTTCAATATTTATCATGCCTACAAAATAAAAGAAGGAGTTCACTTGATTCTTAGCAGTAAAAGCCATTTTCTTCCAAAAAGGTGCGCTGAGCTACCATCAACTGAGTATAAAGATTTTACCTCCATTTTCGTTTTCCGTCGAAGAAGAAGAAAGAGTAAGCGTCGAAAGTCCATAGAAATTACTCATGACTTCTTCTAAAATGCAATTTGAGTCAAAAATAAGACTGATTGCAGATCTTGATCCGGCTCTTTCAGCGAATATCTTCGTGAAAACGATGACTAACAGTCAAATAGTATTCCTTATTGACAGTTTCGCCGGTTAGAAAGAATTCGGATTGCACTATACCCCGATAACTGAAGAAGACTGTCAACATAACCTTTATTTTAGACCTGCTTTGACATAGATTTTTCGGCTTCGGCTACACATTGCCACGATAGTCTGTTTCCGGGTCGCACGCATAGATCCAAGACTCATCGCCAGTAATACAAGGTGCGTTCGAAGTAAACAGCACTTCAAAAAAAAAAAAAAAACAGAACATATGGTTTTTTCGGCAAAATGAAATTATTTTATTCAAAATAGTCTCCTCCTACTTCAATACAGATTTTTGCACGGTTCAAAAGCATGTCGAACGAGTGTTTTAGCTCGTTGGCCGGTATGGCCACCAGTATGCCGGTACAAACCTTTTGAATGGCCTCTACGTCTGCATAACGCTTGCCTTTCGTGCACAAATGCATTTTTCCGAAAAGGAAGAAGTCGCACGGTGCCATATCAGGTGAATACGGGAAGTGGTTAATTGTTAAAATGTGATTTTTTGTCAAACAATCGGTCACAAGCGTCGAATGGAATGTTTGATTCTGAGAAATTTTTAGTCGTCAGTCAATTTGTACGGAACAAACCGTGCACACGGTGCACCGTGCGACGATGCGATAATCATCACGGAAGAAGTACAGGCTACTGACGCCGCCGGCCCATAGACCGCAACAAACCATATTTTTTTTTGTTTCGGGATGCAATGCTGACTCATGGAGTATGTGTGTATTGCTACCTGACCAATAACGTTTATTCTGCTTTTTGATGAAGCCATTCAGCTATAAATCGCTGAATATGATTTTTCAATGAAAATGCGGATCATCAAGTTGTTGCTCAGCCCAATTCACGAACATATGACGATTATAGTGTTCAAGTGGCTTCAGTTCTGGTGTGAATTTGATCTTGTCAGAATGTAGGCTAAGATCTTTACGCAAAATTTGCCACAACAACGTCTCAGAGATATCCACCGCTTGAGAACGACGTGTGAGAGACTGATTCGGCTCTTAAAGTTGAGGTCACTGACTCCAAATTTCGTTAGTAAATTTTAATATCTTCGACTCGTTGTTAGTTCGAATATCTTTCTGTGATGAAATGGCAAATTTTACTAAAAAGAAATGTCAAAAGAGGGGGGAAAAAATTTAGCGTCGACCGCTGTAACCATCGGACTACATTTGCAGCGGCTCTATTGAAAAACCCGTAAACCCGTAAAAACCATAACTCAAGGCTCTCGAGTTTTGTCAAAATTTTTCGGATTACAGCATTGTGTGCGACCCTATGTTTCTACAAAGCTTCAATTACTGATTCATTTGCGAAGTGTTTTATGAATGAAATAACAAGCCATATAATAGTGTGTCAAAAAGTCTTGCGGTATTTTTTATTTCATGTTTTTATATTTTATAACATTTTGATGACTCATGCCCAGCTCTTGACCGATGCTACGGCTGCTACTATGCCGGTCTATTTCGAGCAATTCAGCGTTTTTATCGCAATTTTCGACGACAGGCC